GGGTAGTTCTTTTCATAATCCTTCAACTGTCGGGAGGCATACGCAATCACCTTGCCTCATTGCATCAATACGCAACCCAATCCCAACTTCAACGCATCACTATAAACCACATAGTCATCATTACCTTCGGGTAAGGCAAGAATCAGAGCGCTCGTCAAACAAGCTTTTAAGAGCTGAAAAAGCTTTCTCTTGTTCTTCATTCCATACAAACTTCACAGCTTTGCGAGTGAGTGAAGTAAGGGGAACGGAAATATTTGAAAAGTCTTTTATGAATCGTCGGTAATAACCCGCTAATCCAAGAAAACTGCGGATCTCTGAGGCATTCTTCGGTTGTTCCCAATTCTGAATTGCCTCAATTTTAAATGGATCGACGGAGATACCCTCACCGGAGATCACATGCCCTAAGAATTGTACCTTTCTGAGCCAGAATTCGCATTTCGAGAACTTGGCATATAATTTCTCTAGAAACTCCAACATCTGTCGGAGATGCGTAGCATGATCAATTTCTGACTTAGAATACACAAGTATGTCATCAATGAAGACAATGACAGACTTGTCGAGCATAAACCGACATACTCGATTCATCAAATCCATGAATGCAGCCGAAGCATTCGTTAGACCAAATGGCATTACCAAGAACTCATAGTGTCCGTATCGGGTACGGAAAGCCGTTTTTGGTACATCTTCATCCCGTACCTTGAGTTGATGGTATCCGGATCTCAAATCGATCTTGGAAAAATAACTTGCTCCTTGCAGTTGATCGAACAAATCGTCAATACGAGGTAACAGATATTTATTCTTGATTGTTACTTTGTTTAACTCGCGGTAATCAATACACATGCGAAATGAACCATCTTTCTTCTTCACGAATAACACCGGAGCACCCCAAGGTGAAGTACTCGGTAGGATGAAACCTTTATCCAATAATCCCTGTAATTGGCTCATCATTTCCTTCATTTCTACCGGGGCAAGACGATAGGGTGTCCGTGCAATAGGTGCAGCACCTGGTACAAGATCAATTCGAAACTCTACTTGCCTGTCCGGTGGTAGATCAGGCAAATAATCAGGAAAGACATCCTGAAATTCACATACCACGGGTACATCCTTGGCCAACTTGTTTCTTTCTTTAGTGGCATCTAGAACATATGCCATGAAAGAAGTGCACCCCTTAGATAAATATCGACGAGCTTTAAGTACAGAAATTACCTTGATGTCGCCGACCCCTTTTTCTCCATACACATAACATAATCTCCTTCACTAACTGGTATTCGGATCATCCGTTGTACACAAATAATATCCGCCCGATTTGCTACTAACCAATCCATACCAATAACCACATCAAAACCACAAATATACATAAGGATTAAGTCTACTGAGAAATTTTGATCCTCCAATACTAATGTACAATATTTGAATACTCTATAAGCTACTAAAGAGGTTCCACTAGCGGTATCCATAGAAAACGGTCTATCAAAAAGTACAGGAACAAATTCGAGAAAACGAACAAAGGCATGCGACATAAAGGAATACGTAGAACCAGAATCAAACAATATACGTGCAGGATGAGAATTCACGAAAAATATACCAGTGACGAGCTCCGGCTCCTCCCGAGCCTCCTCTGCTGTGATCTGGAACGCTCTAACTTTTGCTCTTGGACTTCCTCCTTTCGGGTTGAGGAACCCCCCACCATTGATTGTCGTACTGAGGCCTTACTATCCTCACGTTGGGCATTTGGATAATTAAGCTGACGATGTCCATAAACTCCACAAGTATAACACGCTCGGTCTCGTCTTGGGCAATTTGTACGAATATGCCCAAGTTCACCACAGGAATAACATGAAATTTTGGACGGCTCAGAGAAACATCGTCCCGAGTGCGCCTTGCCACATCGTTGGCATGCGCAAGGTGTGTTTGACTGCAATAAATTTGTATTAGTTCTACAATTCATATACTCACTTCACYTGTATTCACAATATTATACCTGCATGGAATAGGCTCGAGATGGGGCTCGAGGAGCACTCTGAGACTGACTCCTTCTTGGGGGTGAAAGATCGATTAGGTCGGTTTGCAGGTACAGAAGTTGTTATTTTAGTTCTCTGTCTCTTTGGTTCGGGTGTGGATTCACCATAAAGAGAAAGTTCATGTTCTCGTCGTCTAGCACATTCAACCGCTCTCTGAAAACTTGTAAGATCATGATTTGATACAAATTCTTTAATCTCTCTCCTTAGACCGTCAACAAAATGTTCAATCTTGTGTTGTTCAGAGGTAACGAAACGTGAAGCAAAACGTGCCTTCATGTTGAACTGGGTCTCATACTGCACCATAGTCAAATCTCCTTGTTTAAGGTCAATGAACTCTTTCTCCAACCGTTTCAGTAAGTCAGGGGGACAATATT